ACAGGAACAAATAGAGGCAAAAATTGCACTTCATGGAAACATTTTTATAAACCTTCAAAATCCTGTACTGGCACCAAGTGGCCCTAAAGATTGTCGACAGCTCTCTAAAGAGCTTTAAAAAAATGTGAATATGTGTAAAAATAGATATGTAAAATGGAAAAAGAGTGTATGCCCATGCAAATTCACACACACTATGACCTGGGAAAACGTATGTCTGAAAACAAAAGAAAATAGAAAAATGGAAAAACTTTGAAAACTTTTGGGAAATTAGTGTTTTTATTTTTTACACACATCAAGTAGTTCTATCATTATCAGATCATTTACAGTTAAGTAAAAATAGATATTTGACAATTTCAGAAAAATCAAACACAACCTAATTTCTTCAGTCTTCAGTAGTCTGATGTGTTTCATGGTCCCAAACAGTCTTCTCCTTTAGTCACAATTGTATGAAAAATTAGGATCACAGTGGACTGAGGAACAACCTCACAAACATAACTGTCATACTTATAGACCATGTGAGCCTCTTTAAACTCGTCGTTTTAATTTTTTATGGCTCACAAACATATTAAACAAAATTTCTGATAAACACACCAAACGATATGTTCCCACCACCAAAAAGCTATCAGGCAAACATTTGTTATTGAATAAAGTGTTATGTAATGTGTACCACCTTTTAAAATGTAAACATTATTTGTAATGTAACAACATCAAAGGGAAAAGAAATAATCAAATGTTTACAGGAATATCTGATTATTGTAAAAAAAAAATTTACATTAACTGAGTGAGAGATTTTCTTTTTTCTTCTACAGCCTTGTATGTTCTCTGAACAGCTTCTGAAAGTGGCTCTGCATCCTTAGCTGCTTCATTTCCAATAACACCTCCCATTACTCCTCCTCCTGCTGCTGCTGCTCCCACCAAGCCTACTGCTCCAGCAACTACTAGTGTTGTTTGATCCTCTGCAGCTGGCACATGTGCTGATGTGAAACGCTTTGTTGCAACATTCACCAATTCTGTGTTCTTCACAGCTGTAGTAGCCAGCGTTACTACACTGAAAAAACACAAAGCCCCAGTTCCAGTCCCTGCCATTTGTATCATACACATCATATCAGTTAGCCGGGTTTCTCATCTCTTCAGCTATTTGCCAACAACCCTGACACCAGATAATTAAAATGTTTTCTTTGATGTATGTAGTACTAGTATGTGCAGTGTATACATCAAGAAAAAATAGGATGCTTTTTTCCTTTTCATTACCTGGATAATAATTATAAAAATCTCACTTAAACCTGATAAGAGACTTTCCTTTCTCCACTATAGCCTCATATGTT